GGCAATATACGCTGCTTAAATGCATTCAACCGAGCTATTGAAATATTACGTCCTGCTAATAAAGACAAATTAAAAGAAACACAAAAGTGTCACAGAATAAAATGACTAGGAAATTTTAATCATTATTATTATTACAATTGATCTATTTACGATGCCTATAAAAAGTGTAAAAGACTCCTTAGTAAACAAAGAACATTCTTTTCGATAAATTCGTTTATGAGGTTCTACATTTATACGACAGTAATTATTTTTTTTTAATATTGTCATTAAGAACATTGATGCTGTTTCAAATTACACCGAATCAATAGTATCGATAGGTGATTACACTATACAAGCATCAGTAAGGGATTATATACATATGTAACGTGACTATTGGAGACGCAACTCATTTTTGATTCATTACAACAGCAATCCATACAAGTTTTTGTTTTGTGACTAACTGGCTTCAGAATAGAACTTTGCAAAGATGTGCAGAAGTTCCAGTTGCCAGAGTCCCTCCATGTAGTACACAAAGAAAGAGAAGAGAGACAATAAACACAAGTGTGAGTGAAGAAACAATAAATAGTAACATGGAAGAGCAACAGAGTTTTATTGGATATGACAAATAAATCACAAAAAGTGAGTGAATGCATCTGCGCCAGCCACTGAGGAGGACTTTTAGCCATATCATCACCCATTGTCTCCAAACATTGTTTTTTACCATTCCGAGAACCCCAACCAGTCAGTCAGCCAGTCTACACCTCCCTAGGTGGCGGCTGGCTTAAACTAACTGTTGTGGATTTCATTGACTGATGAAGTCATGTTTTGGTTTCACCATCACTAGCTCTTTTCCAAACTGATCAACCTTATGTCAGTCAGCTAACGTTGCTTGGCGAGGAAGGCGATCGATGGCTAAGAATGCATGCGGAACACATGTCCTAACTACCCAATCCAATGCCATGACTCAAACAAAAAACTATCTCAATCGGTGTGGCTTTATAACGTCGCCGACTGATTCTCCCTCCTTACCTAACACTAGACCGAAGCTTAACCTCAATATTGCTCACCTTGTGGTGGTGTGATACAGACGACAATATGTGCCAACGGAATGTTATTCTCACATGTCCCCACAGTTCAATTCGGCATTAACAATAGAATAAAATATATCCATTTGAACATTCTATTTGATGGCAGAGACAGAATACTTTCCCTCAATTCAATACTGAATTGGCAACAGAATACTATGTATACTTGAACATTCTATTTCTTGTCGTTCGATGTAAACCGAAATCACACGCTCAGTGATTGGTTAACGAATATAAACTGTAGATGTATAAACAGCGGTTTGATTAATGAAAAATATACATTGACTTCCGTGTCTTGCCTTCTGTTGTTACAACCTTATTCTACCACTTAACACGGGAGATACCTGTAATCAAAGACAGCTAGCCAAACTTTTCACGTCGTCCACTTTCAATGGCCATGTCTCACACTCAGTTGGAAAGCAGGACGGAGCGGACTGCTGAGCAGTACACACCACACGTCCTTTGATAGACAGCCAGCCGGATATCACGTCCTTTAAGCCGGAGATGGCGTAAGTTGGCAGGCGATTGCCAAAAGAGCCTTCTGTATCTGAGATGACATTTCGTCAGCGACCGACTCTTAGAGATGGCCAATCGTTAGCCCAAATAGTACAGTGGTAACGTCCCTGACTGCAGCACTGGGTGATAGAGTTTCAAATCTCAGGATGGACATAAATTCCTCCAAGATTGCAAATACACCTTGCTATTTGCTGAGTGCCAACAAGCACGAAACCTAGGTCAGACAAGGCATCCTGTGGCCGAGTGCCTCCAATCATCTGACAAACTCCCTTTCTACTCTATTTCATTGATTGATCGATATAGGCAGTTGGATGACACTCAAATTAACCAATAGTGCTCGCTAACGGAATCGGACGTCCGATTCCCTTATTTACATCCCAACCGGTCAGTGGTGTACCCAGTGTTGACTCAGCTCCGAAAGCGAATCTAGCTCTGACTACCCCTTTACTACTAATCACTTTTTTCGATTGTTTTTACTCTATGGTGAAAACAGATGTTTTTATAATAAAAAAAAATCAAAATCCATTTCAAAAACTTTCCAAACTTACACATATACGCATGATTAGTGAATGTAAGTGGTTTACACGATAATAATAAAGAATTGGTTGTTGTATCCAGTGTAGGCAAATGTTTTGAGCTAGAAATAGGCAGTGGAGTAATGCTCAGCTGTTTTTCTTCACTGTCTGAATCTGATGAATCCAGCTGGTTTTCATTAGCCAACTTAGTACCAGATGATGATTTCACAGATATTTGTCCAGGAATTAGAAATGAAATTAAGTGTAACTTGAAGTTATAATTTATCGGCTTGTCGTCTGCTTCACTGACATCTGTCTCTGAATGTTGACGTTTCTGACCACTACGAAGAACAGGCGGTTTCAATCCTGGTACACGTTGCCATTCAGGTAAAAAGGTTGGATATAGATCATTGTAACACGATACTGGTGGAATATAATTCATACCTTGAAAATCTATTATAGAAAAAGTAGGAGATAGAAACCAGCTGAGAGACAAGCTAATAGGCAAATAACTGATAACGATAACAATAGAAATAAATAGACAAAGTGAAAAAGTGGCCCTATTCAGGTAGGTAGTAGTTATCTGGGCTTCGAGTGGGAAGTCGTGACCTGTAGGGTCCAGCAGGTCGAATGTGAGAACAAATACTCGCCAGTGATGGCATTGGCTAGCGGTCACACTATATTGTGAATTGGCAAAAGTTGGAATTCATGGACTGGCCATTAGATCGGGTCCCATTGGCTTAATGGTCTACCAGCTAGCTCGCCTTGTAGCCAGAAGGTCCTGGGTCCGAACTCTGGCGGTGGGTACTTACTGATAAAGAGTCCCAAACTAGGACGAAACAGCTGTCCAGTACTCCCTGGTGGGTTTTTCAATGCTTCTCTAATCGGTGTCAGCTCATGATAAAATCCTGTAACCAATCAATCAAATCTCTTCAAAAAGAAAATTCACAAGTTGTTGGAAACGTTTAAATTTATTGCATGATGCCATATATTTTGATTTGGTTGTCATGGTGAAGACCCGTAGCTCAGGTGGGTGATTTTGATTTAGCTGTGTTCTCTGAGGAGCTGGTTGATTTAATTACGAAGCTTTCGTCGTTCACCATCTAGACAACATCTTCAGAGCAGGTTTTAGTATGAATTGAACTGATTTAAATTCTCCATGAGTGATAGAAGTGCGTCTCCTGGCAACCATCTTCGTAACTGGGTGTTAATTTACGTCACTATTGACCACTTGTAATGACTTGGAATTCGAACTTCCTTGTTATGTGATTTACTTTTTATCAGTTGGTAAATTTGATCTGCAGTAACATGTTTCTTAATCGCTGGCTGCTTCATTTAAGAACAAGGCTTCTAGAAGTTCCCTGACTGCATTTTCGGTGTCCACAATCATCTACTCACATCGGTATGAAAGAATATATATATCGTACCTTTTTACAACTCATTTATGTTCTTGGATTCTGATTCGAAGGGGACGCCCACTTTGACCAATGTAATGTCTGTCTGTTACAGTTCATACAATTTATTTTGTAAATGGTGTTAACTTTATCTTGCTTCTCTTTCTGTTGGATCTTTCGGTTTTCATAATGTCAAATGAAATGATTGTTACTAATTTGTGCGTTATGTCTATTTCAAATGGTCTTAATATTCTAACTGTTATTTCTGAGATAGTTTCTAAATACATGGTAGAGTGAATTTCCTTGTCGTCTTTAATAGTGATAAGAAAGTTCAAATTTCAAGTCAATAAAATTAATCAATAGAAACGTAAATTAATAACCAATCACAACACAATGGTTGTCAGGGGATACAATTATATCCATTCATTTATGGAGAATTCAAACAAGTTCATTTCATACTGGAAAATCTGAGTAGACGATGTTGTCTAGAAGCAAAACAATGAAAGCTTCACAATTCAATCAACCCGGTCACAGAACACAACCAAATCATTTTGATGTAGTTGTGTTCTCTGGACTGGATGGTTTATTTGAGAAGCTTCCATTGCCCCCCCCCCCCTCCTACTACGCAACATCTTCAGTCCATGCTTCAATTTGTTGGAGTGAGCATTTTAAGATTTCTCTACGAGTTTATTAGTCATTTCTTCTGGTGACCATGAAATCAAAGGCTCACAAGAAAAGCACAAAGAAAATCTTCCTACCATACAAAATATAAAAGGTATCCCAGGTTAAGCCTCCCCTGAAATCCAGCTTCATGTAATATTTCTCTTTTGGAATAAGTAATAATGTTTCGTTGACACTTATATTAAGTTCATCTTATGCATTAGCTAACATTAGCGACTATGCTTGTGACAATTCATTACTTCTTTCACTAAAAAGAAAACTTTTCATTAATGTCTGGACCTTCATCAATAACTGTCTTCGTTCAATACTCAAGATAAGATGGTCGGTCAGAAAAGATCAGCAACAGAAATCTCCGGTGATGAGCGAACCAACCCAGCAGGAACCGATTGTGCGACATATATAGAGGAAGAAATGGAGGTGGATTGACCATACTCTGAGAAATCAAACCACCAATTGAGTGACATCACACGCCAGGCCATCGCTCGAGTGGAACCCGAACGGGAAGTGGTGAGCTTTTTTTGCAGTGTGAGGTTGACTTGGAGGAGGTCATGTGAAGAGGAGATGAAAGCATGTGGCTGGGCAAACGTGCAGCCAGGTGAAAACGTTGGCAGAGAGCCGAACGCGCAATGGAGACATGCAGCAGAAGCCCTATGTTCCTCTAGGAACTAAAGGAAACAATGATAATAATAATAATGTCTGGATGGGGATTATTCATGAATTAATACAATAAACTACTCACTTTCACATTCTCCTGATAATAATGTTAGCAAAAATGTTGATACAGCAGAGAAGAGTAATGTTTGACGATAACGTTTACCATAACCAGCTAAATAAGACAAGCGTATACGTGCAGCTGATGCAAATACTGGTTTAGTTGGACGTTGATTAAGCAAAGATACAATATGCTGAACTGTAGACCAATTTTGCATTAATAACATTTCAGCTTGATCAATAATTAATAATTCAATTGATGCAATAATATATTGGATGTCAGCTTCTCTATGGAAAATTGAGATAGAAAAAAAGAAAAAAAAACAAAAAACATCGGACAATCCCCACGACAAATTAACTCTTGAAAAATCTAATCTGATGCTCGCTAGTCACTGGGGCTGACTACAGAATGAAGTTCCTTGGAGCAGTTCTAGTGAGAACTCGTAACCAGTGAGGTCCATCCGGTTGGCATTGAGGACAAATACTCTCGAACGATTACACTGGCTGGTGGCAGTCGAACTAAACATATCACGAATCGGTATAGAAGTTAGAATTTATGGGCTAACCATTGAATCGGTTCCAAGTGGTTGAATAATCTGCGAGGTTGGCTCGTAACCGGAAAGTCCGAAACCCCGCGGTGCGTATTATCGGGCAGTTCCAAACTAGAAAGAAACAGCTAGCTGTCCAGTGCTCCCTGGTTTTCCAATGGTTCTCTGACCGATATCAGCTCCTGATTATCGGCGGCCTGCTTAAATCTTGAGCTACAAAATTTCCATCTTACATATTGCATCTATTTCCTGGGATTTATTTTATTTTAATCATTCAATTATGTGTCCTAATCGTATTGTTTACTCTCGTGGTTATTTAAAACGTTTTCAACCGGCTGATTTATTAGTTTCTAACAAACTTAAGAAAAAGCTTCATGGTTGAGGGCGACGAGCTTTAAAGCGTACTCCAATGCATTTGATGACTGTTCCTGTGATTATGAGCACAAATCGCATATCTCTATCGAACAAGATTAATTACTTGCATCCGCTATTATACTCAAATGTATAGTCTCTAGTTTAGATAGGGGAGCCAAATATGTTCGGTGTGCCTTCCTTGATTACACATCTGCATTTGACTCTGTACCTAGGTCTCTCTTGTTAAGTAAGCTTGCTGCAACACAGACTGAAAGCTGGATAAATAAGTGGTTGTATTCCTACTTTTCTGATAGGAAGCAGTACACTGTCTACAATGGAAAGTCCTCCACTACCTCACTTACTTTAGCTGGTGTTCCTCAAGGTGCTGTTCTTTCTCCTTTTCTGTTTTCTTTTTTCTTACATGACTTGCCCCATTCTGATGTAGCCACTTTTGTCAAGTATGCTGATGACCTCTCTGTCTCCATGCCTGTCAACACTCAGTCAGACTGTTCCAAATTAAATAACTTTCTGTCAGAAATTAGTCAGTGGTCCTCTTCAAACGGTCTTAAGCTGAATCCGTCTAAATGTCAGGTAGTAAATTTCACTTTCAGACGAAAACGTGACCTACAACAACTAGCTAGCTCACATGGTCCCACTATCATTGACGGCATAGAGGTTGAAATTACATCTAATGTCAAGTACCTTGGACTGAGTATTTCCTCCGATCTTTCCTGATCCTCTCACATCTTGCTAGTGAATAGAAAGATGTTTCGCTTAACGTTCTACGTTAGGAAGTTTAGGCAGTCTGGTATAAAGCAGTCTTTGCTTTCTCAGTTTGTCAATTCCTGTATTCTACCCATTCCTCTTTACTGCTCCCCATTAATCTCTCCTGGACCACTTAAGAAAGACTTTGCTGTGCTGAGGAGGGCACTAAAAGCTGTTAGTAGGGGAAGTGGGATTTCGTTAAACCAACTGGTTAACACTATTGTGGATAGACATATAATGTCATGTAAGAAACTAGCGAATTCTATATTGTCAGACCCCGAAACCCTCTCTATACGCAACTCTCTCCTTGCATTTCATCTGGTAGAACTAGAAGCAACTATAGGAAGCTATATACCAGGACAACCAAGTATAAAAACTCCACAATACCTTATCTGGCACAGCTGTTATGTGATGAGAAAACTGTTAGGCACGACACGATCAACTTACTGCGGCACTCTAACAAATAGTTCCCATTAGCTTTTGTTTTCCTTTCTGTGTTACTATTATATTGTTGCTCATATATTCTATTACAGACTAATTTTATATATCATATCCTGTGGTGCATTGTTTAAATATGTGAATGCAATGCTGTTCTTTTTTATTTCTTTTATTTCTCTTTTTTCTTTTTGTTGTTGTTGCTTTATATTTTTAAATCCTTATAAAATTTATGAGGTAATTAGATGCAATATTGTAATGAACGCTGAAAATTCCATACCTGTACCACAAATACTGTTTGGAATAAAGCCATTATTATTATTATATTATTATTGTAATACTGCTGTAATTACTCTTCAAGAAACTTGGCCGCACGATTCATACGACGATAATTTAATCTCTTTACGTGATTTCACAATGTACAGACAAAACCGGGGCAGCTCAAAGAAGAAGAGAGGTGGTGGTGTTGCCACTTTTATTAATTCTCAGTGATCTAATGCCAACAACGTCTGCTTCAAATTCTCAAATGACAATATTGATTGTATAACTGTTAAATGTCGACCTAAACACTTATCCAAGTATAGCTTCATTTTTGTCACAGATATCTATGTCACACCTTCTTGCAGTCCCTCAGAACTATCGATCTTCGCCGATGAATTCACTATCTTTGTTGCTGCTTCGTTTGGTAACTCCTTGTCTGTAGTAACTGGTGACTTCAACGCCAGTGACTACAGTTTTATTACATTGCTGGGTCATGAAAATGTGGTTAACTTCCCAACTCGACAAGATACTTCGCTTGATTTAGTACTTAAAAATTATTCTAGAATACACGAAGCTCGTAAAAGAGCTTCGCTCTTCAATTCTGATCACTGTATTGTACAAGTTTTACCCAAAATTTACGGAAAGTTACATAGTAAAGCCTTCTCAAACTTTTCCAAGAAAGTTGTTCACAGATGGTACTCAAATGAGAACGTACATCATCTTAGAAACATGCTCAGAGACACAAGATGGGATCTGTTTAATGATGTTTCACTTGATGACACTATCTCTAATATTACATCTTATCTGAAATTCTGTTTTGAAATCTGCTGTCCAAAAGAAACACTATTCGTCAAATTTGACCGTTTCTCCTCCCCTCAACTTAAAAGGCTTCGTAGAGAGAAGGAAATTAATGCTGAAAATTCCATTGTGTATCACAAGTACTGTTTTTGGAATAAAGAAAATTATTATTATTATTGTTATTAATCCACCAGTCTCTTAAGATGTACCGAGAGTCAGTCATCTTAGAGATTAATTAGTTAAGATGTAGCTCAGCGATTGTGGAGAATCAAGGTGACATCAAGTATGAAAGAAACAACACCTAGCTTTTAATGACAACTACACAACTACCGTCAGCTAGTGATGAAAACTGTCTTCAAATTATCCAATTTTTTTCCAGAATAATTGTCACACACACACACCCTTTTAAAATTCATTACAATTTAATGAGGCTAAGTGTAAAGTGAGCGTTATTCAAAATAAAGTGCAACAGCTTGTAGTTTATCATTCAAGGAAGGAATACAGGAAAATCAAGGACCCCAGAAAGTAACCCTACATCAACTGTGGTGAGAGTCAGAATTGTAGAGAGGGTCATGAGAAAAACAATAACAAAGCTTAATTTTGAGGAAATCACCAGCTAATCACAGTGGAGTTAACATGTGTGGAAATATGTTTCGCAGATTATATGGCTTGATTTTCTGAGAAACGGTCACAAACAGACAACAGGATAACCTTCAGCAAGTAAACAACCAATCAGAAGACATTGCTTCTCCGCTAATAATAATGTACATAAAAATCTATAAATACATCTTGATTTCCTCCATAAACAATCTGTTGCCTGGCTCTTGTCTTCTGTCGTTACACAACTGCAGTTAGAAAGATATTACATCGTATTATATTATTATTTCCTTGAGTTCACCTTCACTTTTTCCTAATCTCTGAGGTCCTCTTCAGCTGCCTCCACCGTCGCCCATCGTCTCCCATCTCCTTCTCACATGAATTCTTCAATGTCACCCTCAGACCGGTGCCCAACTCATCACTTCCCTTTAGAGTTTCAACTAACGGAAGTGTCTGGCACGCGGTCTACTTAGCATGGTGCCGATCCATTTCCATTTTCTTCTACATATTTATTGAGCACCAGCTTCTCGACTGGTTCGTGCCCAGAGTATTTTGTAGCTATTTCCTTCTCTGTCTTGCCATTTGATCATCAGTGTGGAACCATCGAAGGCAGATGTTGACAAATGTCGGCAGGTGGCTGTTGGAGATGCACCAGGTTTCCGACCCATATAGAAGAACCCGTATTTTTTGCCTATGCTGAGTGCAGAATATTTCCAAACTGATTTCAGAGAGATGAATGTCGTCTGTCTTGCCTTTCTGATCCTGCCTGGTTTTGACATCCGCATCCATACCATCGCCTGTAGTTGAAACGATGCTGCATAGCTAGATAAGTGAAAGAGGTGACCTCTTTCAAATTTCTTCCGGTGATGGCGATTGGTGCTTGTTATTGATGTTAGTGGTGGTTGGTTATCTTCATCACCTCCGCCTTTTCTATGTTCACTTAAAGTCCTATCTTCGCTGTCAGCTTCTTTTGATATCTTGTTGGTTTTTGTCTGCAAGTCGTCGAGATTGTGCGCCATTAAACACAAATCATCTGCAAAGTTCAGATCTTGCAGAATCTTCTTGTCAGTTCAACGTATCCCATGCACAGTCTCCCGTATAATCCAGTCTCAACCACACTTATGAACATCATCGCTGACAGCAGGCAGCCATGTCATACTCTGTTCTGTCTTTACTTCCAAGGTTTCACTGAGTTTAGCTCAACCTGAGAATCATTCATACTTTTCCTAATCTCTTCTAGTTACATTGCATCAATCGGTGGATGGAATCAGTGCCACAGGTCTAGTCTTGTTTGAAACTCGTTATCCTAGTGAGTGATACTGTTCCCACTAAGGAAAGAAGTACTCGATTGTCGGTTTTCTTGATTCTGATTAATGAATATCTCCATTGTTCTTCAACAGTTCTACTAATTAACCCAGGAAAAAAATATTATGATCATAAGAACATAGGCTAACTAGCCTAATCATCAGCTGAAATTCAGCACTGAACACTTGTGAGAAGCTTGACCGCCTTACATTCGCTACTTAAGAGAAACCTTTAGTAAACTCAAGTTCAAAAAAAAATAAAACCATAAGGTGCTTGCCGTCCACTATTAGTTTAAGAGGTTACAGAACCATTGGAAAACCTAGGAGTACTGGGCAACTGTTTGGTCCTAGTTTTCGACTCTTCAACAGTAGTCACCCACCCCCAGGGTTCGAACCAGGACCTTCTGGTTACAAGGCGAGCTCGCAGATCATTAAGCCACTGGAACCCGATCCAATGGCCCATGAATTCTAACTTCTGCCAATTCACGACATAGCGCAAACGCTAGCCAATGTCTTCGGCGAGTATTTGTCCTTACACCCGACCTGCTACATCCTACTGGTCACGACTTCCCACTATAACCCCAGGTAACTGCCTACCTGAATAGGGCCTGTCGCAAGTGAGCAAACTTTTGTGAAAAGCGGAGTATATCTGAGACCCTACGTAGGATTCTCAATAAAGCAGGAATTATGGTGGCATTAGGGTGAACCTACAAACTCGCTCAGGTAGGACAAGTTCTGTAGATTAAAGGATCCAGTCGGTTGATCCAATTAAACAAAATAATATAATTTACAAAATACCTTGCAATGACTGTGAGTTAGGTCAACTACATAGATCAAACTAGAAGACAAGGAGTAGTGAGATTGCCCATCAGAACATAAGGGTTTAGCTAAAGTTAGAATGATTGATCCCACCCGTGAAGATAAGTAATTTGGGAAAAAACTCAGCTATAGCGTTGCATGCATTAACACACAACCACACAATAGGGTGGGAGAGGGTTAAAATTCTAAAAAGTATTATAGGTAGGTGGAGATTGAGCGAGACTGATTACTGAATCCCGGTTCGTCCAGTCTACATCCAACACATTCAATAGAAGTGACTCAACGCAAATACCAGAGATATGGAAGATATTATTACCGCCAGTCAAATCAGAGGAGGATAATAAATAATATTAAAATGTACTCAACTGACATTTTAACATTCTGACAAGTTACTTATTTGTTTTACTATAAAGACATCTTATTTCCCATCTGATTGTATTTGATTGATAACACTCATATTATTATTTCTGAATGTACTTTATCTTATACATCTTATCATATATCTTACAAATGAAGCAAAAAAGTTATATAAGCTTTGCCATGATATGACTGGCGATAAACTGTGCTCGAAACGTGGTCATCAGTAGATATTACTGTATAACACCACTGTGTGATTTTATCAAAATAAAATCTTATCCATAGTGGAGAAAATTTCACACACACACACACAAAAGTCTTCCCCCCCCCCAATATTGGTGAGTGAAATTAGGGTTATCACAAAAAATTATGTAACTATACACGCAAGATTTACTTACTGTTCTCCATCTATAATAGTTTGTAGTCCTAAAGGCGAAGCTAAAATGATATCTGAATTGCTAAATGCAGAGTACAACTTCACAGATTTCTTAGAAAATGAGATACCAATACGAAAGTGATCACTTGAATTACCTGGTAAAAAAATTAAAATAGAATAGAAATGCATTTTTCAATTTAAAAAAAAAAATACGAAGGAGGATATAAGTGATCGCAAAAACAAATTTGCCGCGCTTTCGTCTCTCTCTCCCTCTATATATATATATACTTGAATAGGTAGAACGGAGGCGGTCAGCTACAATTCGAATTTCCACAAGTTGTTCGTCTCCGCATTATGTGCTTAGAGGATGCGAAATCCAGCTAGCTATAGATCAAAGGATGTGTGTACTGCCCAGCCGCAGTTCGCTCCGTCCTGCTTTATGGCTGCCTGAGACATAGCCATCGAAAGTGGAAGATATGAAAAGCCTGGTTAGCTGTCTTTCATCACAAGTGCATGCTTTCTATCTCCCATGTTAAGTGCTAAAACAAAGTGAGCGATATTGAGGTGAGGCTTCGGTCGAGTGCCAGGTAAGGAGGGGAAATCGATCAACGAGGTTGTGAAGTTACGTCGGTGGAGTGAGATGGTTAGGACATGTGTTACGCATACCTAGCCCAGACATTGCGTTCCTCGACAGGCTGTGTTAGCTGACTGACATAGGATGGATCAGGTTGGAAAAGAGCTAGTGGTGGTCAAACCAAAACATGGCTTCATCCGTCAATGAAATCCGCAAAAGTTAGTTTAGGCCAGCCACGTAGGGAGGTGTAGATTGCCTGCCTATCTGGTTGGGGTCCCCAGTATGGTAAAAACCAGTGGCGGCTGGAGACAGTTGATGATATGGCTCAAAGTCGTTCTCAATGGCTGACCCAGATGCATTCACCCTTTGTGATTTATTTGTCATATCCAATAAAACTCCATTGTTATTCCATATTACTGTTTTTTTTCCTCACAATTCTGTTTATTATCTATCTCTCTTTTGAATCTCTCTTTACTCTTTTCTCCTGCTTTGTATGGTACATGGAGGGAGTGTGGTGACTTGAACTGCTGCACTTCTGTGCAAAATTGTTCTACGTTGAAAGCAGTCAGTCAGTCAGTCAACGTAGCTCCCAATTAACTGCAGTGGTGCATATACATTTATGTTCTGTTTTTATTTCAACTACCCTGTCTGATGTATTTCTTTAATTTTTTAATGTCACAGCATACCACAACCATTGATGATAACATTTACACTTAGTATTCTCTCTGTGGAAGGGAACCTAAGTACTAAAGGGGAGAAACAAAGAAAACAACAGGATGATCAGCAGGTGCGGAGCTGCAAGTGGAAACCAATCCTCCAACAAAAGGCGAAGTTTTAAATGAAATCAAGCTATTGAAGTCAGGGAAGGCAGAAGGACAGCACGGAATTCCACCTGAAGCACTGGAAACGAATCTAGAAACCGATGAAGATATGTTGACGCCATTTATTGCATAATGCTTGAGATGAAGGAAAGGTATCTGCTGATTAGAAGAAAGGCTACCCCTTGTCAGACTGTCGAAGAAGGATGACTTAGGTCTATGCAAGAACTGGAGCGGAATCATACTCTTGTCGACGCCAAGTCAAATACTAAGTCGCATCATCCTGAAGAGAATAAAAGATGCACTAAATGCAGCACTCCGTCCGGAACAAGCTGGATTCAGGAAAGGCAAATCATGTGCTGATCAAATAGCAACTCTACGCATCATAATCATCATCAAACAAAGCATAGAATGGCAGTCAAACCTCTACCTCAAAATCCCCAACTTTGTGAGGGTCTTCGACACACAGCGTTGACCGCGAAGTAATCTGGAAACTACTTCAACACTATGGCGTGCAGCGCCCAAGTCTTTATCAACCTCACTCAACAGCTACCTATATGACAATTCCATGTGTCAGGTGTTCCACAACGGATAACTCAGTGAAGAATTTGAAATGAATACAGGAGTAAGACGAGGCTGCCAGCCTACTATTACAGATGATATCACTAATTGTAGTGAATTGAATTATGCGGAAGAATGTGCATGGGAGCAAGAGGACAGGAAGACGTTGGGCCAATAAGCATAACTCAAGACATTCTGAACTTTACAAACAATTCATGCCTAATAGCATACAAACTCGAAGACTAACAAGCGAAAACCAACAAGCTGTTAGCAGAAGAAGCTGGCAGCGAGAATAGGAGTTCAGGTGAACACAGAGGAAACAGGCGGTGGTGATGATGATAATGACACATAGCAAACATCAACAGGCACTCATCACTGTCAACGACAGAAATCTAAAATAAGTTACTTACTTTAACTTATCGGGGATAACATTGTTTCAACTGTAAATGGATGGCACGGATGAAGATTTCAAAAAACCACTCAGGATCAGCAAATCATAGAAGACCTTCGTTAATCTTATATGACTGTGGAAATTAACTTCACTCAGCACGAAGAAGAAGACCTAGGTCTTCAAAAAAGGACGTCAAGCCAGTTTTCCTATAAGGTTCACCAAAAGTATTTCCACTAGGCTGTTGCAGACTTTTATCAACAGCTGCCCACTTCGCTGGCTCAATACGGAAGATCAAATGGCTAGCCGGTCAGAAACTATGGGAACGATGCAATCAGGAAATTTATTGCCCATGAAATGTGCCGAAGAAAATGCAGATAGATCGGATACACCGCTCAGGAGACCGTCGAACGACATCGCATGCCAGACAGACCCTCGATGAGAACCCGAAGGAATATGAGGATAACGCGGAGGAGATAGTGAGAGGAAGGATAACAGACTATGGGAAATCGTTATACCAGTTGAACAGGACCGCAGAGAATGTGACAAAGTGGTGTGCTGTTCAAGTCTTATATACATATATTGAAAATTAAAAAGTAATTAAGTATAGTTTACTTACCACTGAACCATTCTTCATAATCCTTTGGTTTTCTTCCTTTCTTCTTCACCTTATCTGTATCACCTGGTTGTGGACCAAAGTCCTGTTCAAATCGACGTCGATGACAAACAGTAGAGCCTTTAGGCATAATTTTTAAAAAAGTCTGTACAATCCGTCTAGCTGCTTCCTTGGTCGGTGCAAGAATAAGAGTACGTGCACGATGAAATCCTTGATCACGAAGAGAACTAGGAGAAGAAATCAAATATATTATTATGAGTTCTAAAGTAACAGAAGAAGATAAGAGACTCCGTAACGGACTGTCTAATTAAAGAAAATCACATCATATTTATACACTTTTAGTCACATCAAAATTCGGCTAGGTTAGAGGAGAATACATCGTTCTGATTGGTTGCCTATAGGCCCAAGGCCGAACAAGTTGTCCAATCAGGTTATTTCATGTCCATAACGTAAGAACTAAATCTACCTCTGCAGCCACTATTGCCTTAAAATACTGATTCCAGTCTCGGCCGCTTCCTATCAATCTGCATCACGTTACAGTCGTAAATAACCAAAAAAAAAAAAAAACATCCGTATTCTTGAATATAGAGAACTTAAGGAATATTGTACGATAATTTCCTGGTTACAGTATATCCAGTTAGTTATTTAAGTATATTAACCCAGATGTAGTACTTACACTTATGCTACCTTCTGTGGGCAGAAAAAGCCAGACATACTAATTTAAAATAAATATAGGTATATATAAATCTCTGAATTTCGGTGATAATATCATCCCGTCGGTTACACATAATTGAGTAGGAGAATGGTTATTTAGGCAAATAAACCTTCATTGCTTTTGAGTGATTAAATACAGTTAGAATTTTAAAAACTCTTATTTGTTTGTAATTCATTTTTGATTCTCCCATTGATTGATTGAACTGAAGTGTTCAATCTTTGTTAAAATGCCAGCCCCTAGTACGGACGATTCAACGATGTCCAGGGATTAACTCGAAGTAATTTGGTGGATGGTGACAAGAAGTGGAATCAAGTCAGGATGCGTATTTCGTCCCATTCGGGAATCATCAGCCAGGTATACTTGCATCCCCCAGTGAGTGATGGTGTCCCCACTGAGGCTAGAACCCAGTACCCGTCGTTTTATATGCCGAAGAGTTATCCCCTAGACCGCTTGGGCCACCCTCTTGTGCAACAGGTGACAGTTTTTATTTTTAATTCTGATTGCCCAAGTGGTCTAGTGGATAACACTTTAGTGTTTGAAACGATAGGGATTGGCTTCGAGTTTCAGTGGGAACACCACTACTCACTGGACAATGAAGGTGCATTCGGATGACGAGTCCCAAATAGGACGAAATGTCCACCCTGGATTCCACTGTCAGTTGTTATCTACCAAATTAATTTAAAAACTCTTATCTCACCTATTAAAGGTCAAACGAAAACAATAAATTCTGTTACGGTTCTACAGTCGTAAGATTAAATTCATTAGCGCGAATGTGTCATATGTGTGGGAGGAAAATGCATCCTTTCACAGTTGATACGAAATTGATTTTCCTTTTCTTTAAAACTAAGTTACTCAAAAATGATCTTTCATTCACTAGGTTGTGACCAAAACATATTGCATATGCGTTAGGATTGATGATGGGACTCTAACCTGGGAACCGCTGGCCAGAAACCCAGTGCTTAGGCTGATTATCCACAGCCCTATAAAACTACAGTCATATCGATTGAATTTTGTGAACGATTCAAATTTGTGCGTGCGTGTTTCTCCTTGTTTTTCCAATTTCTAAACACGCTGGTTTTCACCAGTTCTCTAACTGACAACCATCCGTTGTCAATTCACGACCTGTGGAGTCCATCCAGTCGGGAATGAGGACAAATACTCGTCTGTGATGACATCGGTTAGTGGTTGCGCTAAAAATCACGAATTGGTTGAAGCTTGAATTCAAGGACCATTGAGTCGGGCCTCAGTGGCTGAATGGTCTACCACTAGCTTGTTTGCTTATTACCCAGAAGGTTCAGGCTTCGAAACCCGGTGTGTAGTTGGGTGGGTGAGTTCTGATGAAGAGTCTCAAACTTGGACGAAACAGCTGGCTATCCAGTGTTGCCCACCGGTTTTCAATGGTTCGCTAACTGATGTCAATCTGTGGTCAAACTTGAACTAGATCAAGTCTCTAGGATCTAACTCTTGAAAATCTTATATACTGACGCATTACATTGTTTGCCTATGGAGTGCTTAATAAAAGTGTATAAGAATACGAAACATAACAAAACAAACAATAAAACAAAAAGCCGGTATATGCGTGTATAGAATGAGCAAAGGTAACTGTGAATCTAACAACATTGTGGAAGTACGATAAATGAAGTACGCCAGCGTAAACCTGCTTCGGTCTAAGCATCCGGAAAGAGTATCCCAGCCTTCGCATAGACTATAAGATTTTGCGTAGCGCATCCCCCGGTGCCAGGTTTGTGGCTTAATTACTACTTATTATAATTATTGGTTGATTCCCTTGCGTTATCAGTAGAACATAGGGCTTGAAGCTTATTAGTTTAGAAGTTCCAGTAGCACTGGTATTGTTTTTATGGGGTGTGGTGAGGTGGCTATCCTCACGTCCAACCTTCCTTCTTTACCAGGTTCTTTTTCTACCGGTTAGTCCAGGTAAAGAAGTACGTCGACCGGGATTCGAACCCCAAACCACATGAGGCGTGGGTGGTCAGTATTCTACCGCTGAACAAACCAACGCGTTTGTGTTTGTGATTAATCTTTTTTTTCGAAGTTCACCTACTTCTAGACAGTGTGAGAGATTGTATTGCTCCAATATAAGTAAATAACTAAAGATGCTGTTTTCTTTCAGATGTATACACAAAAACAATTCACAAAATTGTCCTGTATCTTATATGGTGATGCTGTCCTAGAAATTTGCAGATTAGCAGGAGGATTAACAGTAATCTCTTTCCCCGAACGTTAAATCAACATAAAAACTCCAACGAAGTATTAGCTGTTATTTAGAAAACTTGCAGGCGAAAACCGACAAACTGGTTGAAGAAGCTGGCAGCAAAGACAAGACTCCAGGTGAAAATAGAGAATACGGAGGTGACTGAAGATAACCAACTAACCAACAGTGACAAAACAACAACCAACACCAATCACTAACAACGGAGAAATTTGAATGATGTCAATCCCTTCACTTATTTAGGAAGCACGAGTTTAACCACAGGCCAAAGGAAAGATGAAGATGTCAAAGCTAGCCAAAATCGGAAAGGCAAGATACACCTTCATCAATCTGAAACCAGTTTGGAAATCTTCTACACTAACTCAGCCAGCTAGCATAAACAACAAGATTCGGATTCTGTTCAACACAAATGTCAAGTCAGTCACCTCTTCTATACGGGTCAGAAACTTGTACTGCACAAACGTCACGAAAAGGATTTCCAACAAGCAGTTGCAGACTTTTACCAACAGCTGCCACCTTCGCTGGCTGGCTGAAGATCAAATCGCCAGCTGGTCGGCCAGTCAGAAAGAATTAGCAACAAGAAACTCTGGCTGGCTGGGAACAAACCATCCAAGAGCCGATTGCTCAACAAATATTTTTGAGAAAACGGAGATGGATCGGCCATACGCTGACGAGGCATTCGAATGACATCACGCGCAGTACAGGCCATTGCTCCAGTGGAATCCCAGTGAGAAGCGATGAGTGGGTTGTTGGTGCGAGGGTGAAATGGAGGAGGCCGTACGAGGATGAGATGAGAGATTATGGTGATTCGTGGGCCCAGCTAAAGAGGACAGCAGAAGATAGAACAAAGTGTACATGTGTTGTTGAAGTCCTATGTTCCCCTCGGAACCCAAAGGGATTATTAATAATAGGTGGTTGGAGGCAATCGACAGGAAACCCTATCTGACATAGGTTTCATGCTTGTTGGCATTCACCTTTCAGAAAGGCATATCTGCAACCTTGAAAGATAATACGACTGAACACTAAATAGGTAGTAGTAGTAGTAGTAAGTAACTAGTATCATGCGCCTAGTCCTTTGTTCGGTGTAAACTAAATTCCATCAGTTAAGTTACAGATGCGCCTTGCATTGTGATGGCAAGCAGCCTAAGATGGTGAACACATTGCAAACTGCTTGACTGATAGGGTTCAGTCTGTCTGTCTGTCTGTTTTCAACATAGAACTTTGCACCTATGTGCAGCAGTTCAGGTCGCCACACTCCACTCCATGTAGCACACAAAGCAAGAGAAGAAAGTAGAAAAAATGCATAATATAGACAGTAAACAGAGGTGTGGTGAGACAAAGGAATAGTAGTAACGAAGAACAAAACAGTTTCATTGGGAATCATAAGTCACAAGGAGTGGATGCATCTGCACCAGCCATTGACAACGATCACTTTGAGCCATCTCACCAATTGTTTCCAGTCATTGGTTTTTACCGTCCCGAGGACCCAAGCCAGGAAGTCTACACCTTCCTACGTGGCTTAAACTAACTGTTGTAGATTTCATTGACTGATGAGGTCATGTTTTGGTTTGACCGCCACTAGCTCTTCCCCAACCCGACCCTATGTCAGCTAACATTGCCCGTCGAGGAAGGCGATGACTAGGCTAGGCATACGTAACACATGTCCTAACCATCTCAGTCGATGTAGCTTCACAGCCTCGTCTATTGATTTCCCCTCGTTACCTAGCACTCGACAGAAGCCTAACCTCGATGTTGCTCACCTTATTATACCACTTCACACGGGAGGGATATAGAACGCAAGCACCTATGATCAAAGACAGCTAATCTTTTCATGTCTTCCACTCTCAATGGACAGGTCTCACAGCCATAAAGGAGGAGCCGGATATCACGTCTACACCAGAGACAGCATAAACTGGGATATGCGAAACTACCCTTCTGTATCCGTACTGAGATTTCGTCAGAGATCAATCCGTTGGGGCTGATGGTACTTCCCAAATAAGTGAAGCGGTCAACATGCTCTACCACTTCACTCCATATTTCTGAAATAGGAGTCAGTGTAGTCCAGTCCTGTAGCCTCATCATCTTACATTTGGCAGGAGCGAATCGCATGCCAAACATTCGTAGATTGCAGCTCAAGGTGTTTAGAAGACTCTGTTTGATTTTTTCAGCGTATCCTCCTAGAAGCACTATATCATCTGTATATTCTAAGTCGAGATTATTCCCTGGTGGTAACAAGTCAATCCCTGAGTCGCTGAAGTCGGCAGTTAGGGTTAATTCCATTAGTACATCTATGATGCAATTGAATAGAAATCGGGATAATGGGCATCCCTGGTGGACACCACTAGTCGTCACCACTTCAGATGACAACTCGCCCTCACGTGACTGCATGAGTTCGAGTAGAGTGCCTTGATCAGTGGAATATATTTTCTCGGCATTCCCTTTACAGCCAAGCATTGCCAGAGAACCTCTCGGTAGACAGAATCGAATGCCGCCTTTAGTGTGAGCCAACCAAAAGACTAGACGCATGAAATCAGTTACATACTACTACCTAGTTAGTGTTCAATCAAACTACAAAGTAGTTCTCATGAGAACTGTCTGTCTGCATTCACCATACAACTTGGCACTGAAGTGCAGCAGTTCGAGTTGCCACGTTCCAAATAGCACACAAACGTAGACAAGAAAATGAGTGAAGAGAATCAATAGAGTTTTGACAAGTATAAGAGTGAAACAGAATGAGTAATGGTAGAAAGGAGTATGAAGGTTAAAGAGACTGAATACATCTGCGCCATTGACAACGATTTTGAGCCATGTCACCTATTGTCTCCAGCCATTGATTCTTAGAGTCCCGAGGACCCCAACCCGGAAGTCTGAATCTCCCTACCTGACTCATTTTAACTGTCAAGGATTTCATGAGAACATAGGGTTTCAAGTAATAGCTTTTAAATTCCAGTAGCAGTGGCATTTACTTTAACGGAGTGAGGTAGCTAATCTCACATCCAGCCTTCCCTCTTTATCAACGGTTAGGCCACCAGGCGAAGGATTGTGTCAGCCAGGGATCGAATCCTGGACCATATGAGGCGTAGTTAGCCAGTACTCTCCACCACTGAACCACCGAAACTTATAACTTAATCAATAAATAAATAAATAAGCAGAAAAAACAGAAAAGTATGCCTAATGAAAAAAATTAAAAAAACAACAACTTACTCTGAAACACCAGACTGTTTTTCCTTTTCATTATTCTTTATTACAAGCTTTCTACACCTAAATGAATTCGTCTAATAACCAAAAGTGGGAATATTTAACGACTCACTTTAATGAGTGATTCAAGGCATGACAACAGTACAAGAGACGGATGGATTCATTCTCTGGAGTACGACGACAAAAGAATAAATCCTTCACGGAGATAGATAGAGAGTGAGATAGGGAAGATAACAGAGAACAAGTTACCTCATAATTATTGATTATTTTCTGTAAAATAACATCTTCTGCATTGATCTTTGCATCAATAGGCTGAAAGTTGTGTGTCAATAACACTAGTGTCCATTTGAACAGACTCACCTACATTTTTATCATTCAAAAATGGAAACTGTTTACGATTAGCACTTGACTTGTACCATCCTATGTCGGGATGCTACGATAAGAATCATACGAAGGTGAACTTACTATCATTGTAGTTACTTCTGTGTGGATTTTATCTTTCACTTGTTCATATGGTACAGTAAAGTGGCGTAAGAATGAGGAGCCTAGAATAGATTAGAATTTTTCTTTAAACTTTGCGCTAACCTTCAAGTGGGACATCAATTGTCTCCTCCATATTTTAAGGACTGATTTACCACCACCCCCCAAAAGGTAAGAGATGCCGTACCTTGAAGTGAAGCAGAAAAATATTTAGATAAAATTTAGGTAAAACAAAACACTAGTGACATTTCATAAAACTAAAATTAAATATAATTTAGAACAATTTCAATTCATGTAAATTAGAACAAAGAAAGAAGAGACATTGGCGCTGAATAATCTGGATCCATTCTATTTCGTCGGTTCTCATCATCAGCTGCGTACAACCTGAATTCTTTAATACAATAAAAATAAGAAGTGTACAATTTTAACAAACTTTTGTCCATTAGCGAGTATATTGTCAGAGTGTCATAGTGAAAAAGGCGTCGCGATTAACAAGGTGTCTAAAGTGTTACGACATATATATTTATTTTGTTAGAGGGAAGTTACTTGAAAAAAATTAATTAACAGTTGTGTTGTTCGGGTGGTAACAAAAGCAAATTAGTAATAGTTACGTAATTAGATAATAAAAGATCAAAATTTCGGTGCACTTGAGGTCAGATGAGAAGTTGATGATGTAATACAGTGAGTAGAACTCAGAAGATCAAGAAAAATTACCTCTTAAGTGAGTCAAGAGAAAAATAAAGGCGGGGTGGAGGAGTGAAAAGATAAGTAAACAAAATTGGAAAACAAAGAGTTACTAAGATGTGAGTCACCAGGGTAAATGAAGTCCAACAACAGATTCTTTTTGGACACATAAGTCAGGCTTCAATCGTTTTATTGCGATAGCTTCAGCAAACCTGAGAAGACTTGAGGTACTTTGTCTGTAAATTATTTTGAATGATTCCAGCACATCTACTCGATGTCCTGTTTGGCGATTGAAGAGCTTGAACAATTTGGTCCCTTTAACCGGAGGCTCCTTGGTACATGTTCGCAGAATCTGATGTAGGCCCTCCTCTCTGTTCTTCCAATGTAACTGCTCCCGCAGATACATGTGAATTGGTATACACAGTGGGAAGTAACATGTGAGGGACACTTGTCAATCTTAGAGCGAACACTAACAAGATATATATATTTATGTCGTAACACTTTAGACACCTTGTAAATCGCAACGCCTTATTTCACTATGACGCTCTGACAATATGCTTGCTAATGGACAAAAGTTTGTTAAAATTGTACACTTTTTTATTTTATTAAAGAATTCAGGTTGTACGCAACTGATGAGAACCGACGAAATAAAATGGATCCAGATTACTCTGCGCTAGTTTTTCTTCTTTCTTTGTTCAAATTTATAAAAGGGGATCATTGTATGAAATTCATGTAAATTATTTCGTATATGCAAAATGAACACAAATTTGACCAGTACTTCAGGACAGCAGTCTTATGGGTTTCAAAATGGTTTCAAAAATACACTGGCACCATTATTATTATTATTCTCTTGAGTTCTGAGTGGGACATGGGCCTTCAACAGCATATCTCCATTTCAGCTGGGTCCATAGGGTTGCCCACAAGGTTTCATCTCCTCCATATCACCCCTAGACCAACGCCCAACTCGTCGTCTCCCACTCGACAGCCTAGAGTGCAATGTCACTCAAAGCTCTCCTAAGCGTGTATCAGACCAATCTCCTTTTTATTTCGCATATTTATAGAGTGGCTTATACAGCACCACTTCTTCTATAAGCCACTCAAAACTGAATAAATACCCTGCTAATGTCACCTCCAACTGCGTTTATGGATTCACGTGCATTTGCTGGGAGCAAGTACATTGGAAGGACAGAAAGAAGGGCTTCTATCCGGAATTCTGAACATATTCCAAGAAAGTTGTGCCTGAAAGCAAGCAAATATTCTCAGAGTGCAATTACCAGTCATATTGTTGATACCGGACATCTCGTAAAGTTTTCTAAGGCTTTCAAAAGATTAAATAGACAAAGGACAGCAAATTTACTCCGATTTGCCGAAGCGATCAAAATCAAACGATTCAAACCAACCAGACTTATGCATACAGAAAGAGAGTGTGACTAAACTCTCACTCCTTTGGTAACTGAATTTTGATTTTGGTTACATTAATTAGTCATCGAATTCAGTGATCTCAACTCATAGAGCAAATTTCAACCTTATAAACTGTAACCGCCTTTGTTTTTTGAGTTGCTATGTGAACCTACAAGCTAACACTGTTTGTTAATTTTCCCCGTTTTCTGTCTTACCCCTTCCCCCTCCCTCGTCTTTTGTACTTTGAAAGCATATAAATTGATGATGAAAACTTAAACTAAAAATTGTAGTGCTTTCATTTTGGATGCATCAATTTTATAGTATCTCTTCTCCACTACCACTCAAACATTAACGTGGGTTATTATCATTTATGTATAACAACTGTAATTTCAGGTAGTTTGCAGCGGTTGATGAGAACTTGTGAAATAGAATGATGATATCACTTTATACTGCATATTTTGTCTTCCTTTCCATATAGAACTGACTGATTTAACATAGGTGTTGAGAATCGGAATTTCGTTCTAGATGCTGAGTTAGTGCAGAATATTTCCAAACTGATTTCAGAATGATAAAGGTCTGCATCGCCTTTCCAATTCTGGTTGTTTTTGACATCCACATCCGTGCTGTCACCTGTAGTTGAAATGATGCCGCATAGCTAGATAAGGGAAGGAAGTGTCCTCTTTCAAACTCCTTCCGCTGATAGTGATTGACACCTGTTGCTGGTTGGTTATCTACATCACCTCCATTTCCTCTATGTTTTGATGGAGAAAGAAAGACCAGATTTCCAGTAAAAAATGATATCATCATTCTATTTCACAGGTTCTCATCAGCTGCTGCAAACTACCTGAAATTACAATGGTTGTTTGTAACGATATGAGTCAGGCATCCGTATTATTTGACCACCTTAATGAGATCCACTCAAACATTAAATTCACCATGGAATATGAACACAACGACAAGTTCAATTTCCTGGACCTAAATGTAAAAATAAGATACGATGGAACTGCTGAAAAGTCCATCTACAGAAAAAAAACCTGGACTGGACAATATCTTCACTACAACAGCTTCTGCCCTATAAGCTATAAGCGGGGATTAGTAAGGACACTCACTGTACGACAGAGCCAGGAAGTTATGTTCACCTAACGAGGCAGAAGAAGAATTAAGCTTTGTTGAAAAATGCCTTAGGGAAAACGGGTATCCATAGGGATTTATCCTAAACTACAGCAAAGAAAAAGATGAGAAAGCGAAGTATCCACAGCAGTGGAAAAGAAGAAAGTGTTCATTCGTCTCATTCACAAAGGAGAAGCAGTATCACAAGAGATTGACAAGAGAATGAAAGGAGCAATAAAGAGATGCTTCCCTACGGCTAAGCTCGTAACACTATACATTACCACATGCTCTATAAGCCAATCGAAACTGCCGATGTTGCCTCCAACTGCATTTATAAAAATTTAAATGCATCTGCAGCAGCAAGTACATTGAAAGGATAGAAAGAAGAGCTTCTATCCGGTTTTCAGAGCATATTCCAAGAAAATTATGCTTAAAAGGAAGCAAATATTCAAAAAGTGCAATTACCAGACACCTTGGGGATACGGGTCATTTTGTCGAGATTTTCAAATCCTTCAAAATACTAAACATAGAAAGGACAGCGAATCTACTACGATTTGCTGAAGCAATGGCAATCAAACGTCTCAGACCAAACTTATGCACACAGAAAGAGAGTATAGTCAACCTCTCACTCTCTTGGTAACCGTATTACTTTGATTACGCTGATTAGTCTTACACACTAGTGAGCTCAGCTCACTAAGCAAGTTTTCGATTTGATGAACTTCAACCTTCTTGAGTTGCCATGTTGACATACAAGCTAACACTGTTTATTAGATTTTTTTTGTTTTCTGCCTTCTCTCACCAACTCCCTTTCTTCTTTTTTCATAGTTTGATAGCATATAAATTGATGGTAACTTGAACTAAAAATTGCAATACTTATATTCCGGATGCGTTCATCTTATAATGTTTTCACTATTACCTTTCAAACATTGAAGTATGAAATGTTATTATTTATAACCAGTGTAATTTCAGGTGGTTTGCAACTGATGAGAACCTGTGAATTAGAATGATGACGTCATTTTATCACGACTTGAAAACTTAAGTACACTTTCGCGTGGTAGTTTGAGATCTTTATGGGCAATACGCAAACCGTTTACTAGAATCACCAGATATATATTCACTCCTTTATATACATCTCTGATGTGGTCAAGACTGAAAAACTGCATCCAGATATCCAGTCCTTGTCTTCAGATGGACTCGTACATTCTAGAAAGGGTTCAAATGATGGCAATGCGTATGTTTCTTGGCATAACCAATTTATCATACTTTGAAAGACTAGACAGTTGGCATCTCTTCTGCATGTTATACCGCAAGCAGTGATTTCATTAGTGTCTAAAATACTTAGTAATGACATCAGAGCTGATATATTTCTCTTCTTCCCACCAGTTCAGAAGACCTTAAAGGACATAGCAGGAAAGCCAAGGAGAAAATATATCGCTGTAGAGTACCGGTTCTCGCACCGAGTCATTAACTCGGGGAACCAACTCCCAGAAATGGTGTCAGCGCTCTCAGTTGACTCATTCGTGAAGGGTTTAGACAGGCCCAAAAATATATTAAAAGTGAATTAACATAGACATAAAGCCCTTTGTCATCAGCCAATAAATCATACATTTTTTTGAAATATTTCGATGACGTCGACAACAATCCTAACTAATTTTCATTCTTGTCAGACAGAGTTAATGTACACATATACAGAACTAATTATATATAGTTGTGATTCTACAGCTAAGTAAATAGATTCACCGAAAATGGACTGCACTAAATTATGTCTTGTTTTTCATTAATCTCTGAATTGGGATTACACAAAGAATTTATGTAACAATGTTGTAAATTACAGTGATGAGAACAGGATGATCACAGTGATATATTTTAACTGAACCAATTCAGTTCTTCAGGCCTGCTATCACTGATAAAGTTTGCCTTCTTGAAACTCACTTATTTGTATGCCTTCGATAGTATCAGTGGCATACAGCACGAGACCAATAACACTACAGCAATATACTCCCCGATTCCTTCCCCAAGGATCTATGGCTTTCTGTGACTGAAGAGGTGCTTTAAAACACAGGCAGAGCTAAATCAACAAAAGTAAATTACTTGTCAAACAAATGTAAACTGCTTGCCCTTATATGCCGAATACTGAAGGCATTCATTGTACATAAAGTACTAATGCTAATGGATAAGACTACTTATAAATACCCACATTGTAGATCTAACCACTGATAAAAAAACGCGATCCTTATGGATAATTTTCAATACAACTATTTAAAAGATTATTTACGACTATTTAGGAGAGGGCGAGCGTGGAAAATCGCTTCTTATTTTAGTTAACGAAGCTTTACGAAAAAATTACTCACGATTAAACAAGATAAGGCCGACGACACAAACTTCCAGAATACACGAGGAAAAGTACCGCTATTTTCATAAATGGCGGTTCAGAAACCAATGGTTGAAGTCGATTTTCAGTCGAGTATTGCCTAGACTGGTTCCTTTAAATACTCTTACTACTGATGGAGAGCACTTCATAATCTCCGAATGATTCCTGAACTTTTGGCTTCACTAGTTTTACGATAGACACCTAGCCAGTAGTCGAGTAGATAAGTTTGAAGGTAAGATTGAGGTTCCAATATCCAATATCGTTTTTACGAGCTAGTATAAACCAATTTGATTTCTTTGTGCTCGCCTCTTGATTGTGAGGTAGAGGTTCCTGATCTTCGGTAAATGTCTACGTGGCTCGTCCCGCCACTCGACTGCCGTAGCTTTGGTTGACTACAAAAGGAGTAGTGCAGGGATTAATTATATGTGGTTTGTAGTATGAAGTGTGTTAAGACTGCTACTACTGTGAATGGAGTTGATCCTTTCACCAGTTGGTCCTTCGGTATAGCCGTCAATAGAAAAGAGATAATAATAATAGATATAATTAGTAAAGGTATTCAGACTAACAGACAGAAAAAGAATAAGAAAACGTAACAACAGTCAGTCAACCGGTATATATATATACCAGTAATAATAATAATAATAGGTGTAGTAAAAAGTGTCAGGAGAGTAAGATTGAAGAGAATGTGAAGAAGTAAAACGACCAGTTTAATTGTCTACCTTTGAATGGTGTATGCGATTTTAAGGGGATAGGCCATTTGGATGAAGTCCGTGTGTCGCTGCGTGGTTGTCCAGCCTTAGCTTAAAGGCGTCCACAGATGGTGCCATAGCTACATCTGCCGGTAAGGAATTCCAGGGACGGCAAACCCGCAGGGAAAAGAAGTGGGAGCGCACTCGGGTCCTTGCCCTCTGATGAGTTATCCTTCTAGGATTTCCACGAGAGAGCCTATACCTACTCAATGGCAAAACACCTTTGTTTGGGTGATTCTGATCATTTGTTATTTTGTAGGCAGTAATTAAATCCCCCCTAAGACAATGGTAACTAAGTGTGAATAGGCCTAATTTCTTCAGTTTTTCATCATATGGTTTATTTCGGAGACCAACCACTCCTTTTGTTGCCCGTCGTTGGACTCTTTCCAAGAGGTTGGCGTCTCTTTTAAGCAGCGAGGGTGCAATGATATTATGCACTTCAAGGTGTGGTCTGACGTATGTTTTATACAACCTTAGAAAGAGCTCAGGAGTGAGTGCACCTAACTGTACATGTGTAAAGTGTATGACCGCATATGCCCTCGCTATATCCCCCATGTAATTTACGCTTGTGTCCATTTTCTCAGTTAGAACTAGACCTAAGTCACGTTCCGACGTTGAGCAGGACAAGCTTTCATTGCACAGGCTGTAACTTGCATTCTGCGGTCTACAGGTGCATAACTTCACTACTTTGCACTTTTTCAGGTTGAAAGTCATGCTACTGACTACCGCCCAGTCTTCCAGAAGCCTTAGATCTGCCTGCAGTCTATCTGAGTCCTCCGGACACTTTATCGCCCTCCATATCTTCACGTCATCAGCGTATGGAATAGTCGGGCAGCTTAGACCGCATGATAGATCATTGATGAAGATCAAGAACATCAGTGGTCCCAGGATAGAACCCTGCGACACTCCTGATGACGAGCTGTGCCATGATGATCGGACTCGATTGACCTTGGTGCAAAATTGCCTTTCACTTAGGTAGGCCTTCAACCATGACAGAAGTGGTTTACCTAACCCTACTTGGCTTATTTTGTGTAGGAGAAGGTCATGGTGAACAGTTTCAAATGCCTTCTCAAAGTCTAGAAAGATCACATGGACTTGAACATTCATATCTCAGCGTGATGTCCAGTCGTCCCAAGCTGATAATAAGTTAGTGACGCAGGATCTCCCTTTCCTGAAACCGTGTTGGGCTTCATGGAATATTTTAGATCTATCCAGATATTCCCTGATGTGATCATCAATAATACTTTCCAGTACTTTTGATACCACTGGGAGTAGAGCTGCTGGTCTATAACTGGTGGGATTTTGCCTATCCCCACCCTTGAAGATCGGAGAAAGGATGCTTCTTTTCCATTCCTTTGGCAGTTTCCCCGATTCCATGGAGTGTTGGAACAAGTCGCATAAGGGCCTACAGAGAGCTTCGGAGCACTGTTTCAGAACAGATGGCCTGATGTCGTCACAACCTGGGGACTTCCCAGGTATGAGTCGCTGCAGCTTTCTCAGTACTATTGCAGGGTTTATTTGGGGGTGGCTATTTGGTCTTCCTCCTGTGAGATAGTGATGCCACCATTTTGGTCCGTAACGGTAATACCCACATTGCTGTTTAGCTGTTTGGCGAAGGTTAAACTGAATGTTTCAGCCATCTCCAGACTAGTGAGATATTGACCGTTTTGGCCTACTAAGGCGCACGCCCCCTGGTTGGTCGGTTTCCTTTCCGACATGGATCGGTACAAATTCTTCGGGTTTGCCAGGAGTTTTTTAGCAAGGTTAGCCTGGAATGACCTCCTGTCCCTCCTGATTCTTGCATTGCACCGGTTCCTGAGTTCCAGATATGCATCGTGGTCGATCTGGCTTTTAGATACGCGCCACATAAACCAAGCCTTCCGCTTTGCTTGCAGAATACGCTGCGTGCCTCTCTTTAGCCATGATGACTTTCTTTTGGGCTGTGTTGTGACTAAAGGGACGGTGTCCGAGATTACTGTATGAATAATCTTTTTTACCACTTCCCAGTGTTCATCCACAGACAGCTCATCCCATGCTAAGGGCCAGTCTGCGTCGGACAATAGCATCCGCATTTCAGCATAGTCAGCCTTGCTGTAACACAGACATGGTTGCGTAACGTCCCACTACAAATGCTCACGGAGAACGAGGTCGAAACCTATGACTGCATGGTCACTACTTCCTAGAGGAGTCATGATCTGGAACTTTTCGACGAGTAGTTGGTCACTAGTTAGAATGTAGTCTAGTTTTGATGACTTTCCACTAGGTCCCCACCTAGTGTCATCTCCAACGTTCTCAGTCAGTCCCGTGTTCCGAATAGTTTGCAGTAGATTTCGGCCGAATTTTCCCTTAGCATACCCCGAGCCAAGGTTCAGTGATGGGGCATTGAAATCTCCAGCAATGGTGATTTGGTCATAGCCCAAGTCTCGTATCCCTGTGATAGTGCTGAGCAGTAGCTGATTGTGCTCTGCCCCACAGGTGGGAGACCGGTAGATGCCACCAAGTAAATGCTTGGTGTGGCCTACGGTGAAATGGCACCATATGGAGTCTGGGATTTCAATAAGTGGTGGGTCCGTTGCGCGCACACATTTAAGTCGCCTATCATAGTATATGGCAACTTCCCCTCCTTCCTTATTATCCCTGTCTCTCCTGACCAAAACCATATCACCTATACTGATTTCATTATCGGCGGTAGTGGGGGTTAGCCATGTTTCGGTGAGAATGATCATTTTCAGTTGTATGATTTAACCCAGTACCCGGTAGAATGGGACTCCGAGGGCACAGTGGATCCACAGTAGGCCACCGTTTATGCTGTCGAGGTGTATAAAAGTCAGTATTAGACATTTTCAGTTAAGAAGTAATTCTGCTTCGAATTTACTGGGTCTTTCTCTAGTTCATGTGGGTCTCCTCTGTTCTTTACTGTTTTTCTAACTTCCCTATCGTTAGAATAAAAGAGAGCTTTACACCTCCCTTATACTGGAGATTCTGCAGTGAATAATGACGTCGAAAGGCACAGAATTACCTACTGAAAATTTTCTGGGGTAAACTGATACACAAGGAGCCTAAATGATTACAGCTTGCTCAAAATCCCCTCTCATCATATGCAGCAGAACGACTCTCAAGAGACTGGATATTTTGGGTATTGAAATTTCTAGCACAATTTCTGGTCAGATCACGGTTATCATGCTATGTTTTGTTTCCAGTACTCCCTCTTTGATGAAATCTCGCAGTCAGAATTGTCAACATGGAATGGATGTCCAGCTACCTGGCATACTCAAACTGGATTCCTTTCCGTTGGAGATCTCAACTCATTCTCTGGTCTATTTGCTTGCTGACCAGCAGACGACTGGACCAATACTATGAGAAAAGTTATTGTGAATCAAACTGATTATTATAAAAGTCCTTGCATTTCCGAATGAATGAAAAAACGATGCTATTTTTCATTCACTGGGAAATTCAAAAACTTCTATAATAATGAATATCATATACCCAGTGCCCAATTTTTTTTCAAACTGTTAAAATTGGGCTTGGTTTGGACAAATATAACTGAATCATACTGATGTTTATTTATGGGCTATGAAGCTTAAGCACTTGAACCTGTAACCGTCTGAACCAGCAACGTTTTGAAGCCGTCAGTTTCGGTAATCTAATCATTTTTTCTGTAACTGTCTTGTCATGCAGGCTTATTGTCAGTGGAACAGTAAACAGTCTCAGAATTGCCGATTAGTCCTCTGATATTCCCGGGTTGGTTGCAGTGCACTGCATCTTGAGCCGCGTCTGTTGGTCTTCTAGCAACACCACTAGCATCAGGATCCGTGAATTCATAGTCTCTGAAGCTGATACACTTACAGTTGTGGTTATTAGTACCCACACATTTTTGCTAGCTGACATTTTCCTTTAGGGGAGCGCGGTTTTTTATCCACTTGTGTCACAATGTTGTCACCGACGTTTTGACATGGATTTGTGAAAATCCAGCAAAATGTTCTAGTGCATTTTATGGAACATATAAGATCAAAATGATGAAAAACACCTCAGGACCACTTATGAATGGATGGACCAGAGACAACATTAGTGGCTACTCCGTGGAGGCCTATCCCATCTTGGCTAAGAAACCGGCCAGCTGCTGGTCTGGCGAGCCGTAAACCAGTGGCTCAGCCTCTTCTAGCTCCCCCAATTAGTTAAAGGAAGATGAGATACTTGTGTCTACTCAACGATACATCTGAGTAAAAAAGTACGGAGAATCTACACGAATACTTCAAACCAACCATTGTGTGCTAACCCCTCCAAACAATAAGGTGTCCTAAAT